CAAGCAAGTTCTGGAGCATATAAAAGCAGACATATTGCTGAAAGACAAAATCACAAAATTATGCCTTACTTATTTCGGCCATGTCACGTGATCAAATTCACTGGAAAAGGCAGTTATGCTTGGAATAAAAGGAAATGAAGCCACCAAAAAATACAGTGGCTAGACACCAACCAGAGCATAAAAAAACTGAAAGAAGCCATACAAGGTCGGAAAATGTGGAGAGAGATGGTTCATAGAATTGCCGAGAAGCGGACACAATTGGATGGATAGCATCGTCATCATTCAAAAGCTAGACATATTAATAGAAGATAAGCTTTAGCTCAGGTTGGAAGTAATGGCAGAATGCTACCTGCTAACTGAGTACCAATATACTTTTCGATTATTAATGCTGGGGGAATAAAAGTGAGATTATACTATAGGTTGGCTAATCACTGTGTGACACAAGATGGGGGCTAGATTTTTTTAATTGAGCAAGCATTTTATAGAGAAAAATAAAAAATCAGTTCTGATTGGTGGCAGCATCTGGCTGGCCTTGTCTGGATTCAGAAGCTAAGTGGGGTCAGTCCTGGTTGCTAGTAAGATGGGAGACCTCAGGTGAACACCAGGGCATCTTGGAAGGACACAGTGTCAGACTATTTTGGTAGTGCTGTTGAGAAAATGACATGGATATGTCTATTAAATTATCAGAAGTTAAGTTTAATTTGAAACAGACTTTAATTCACTTACTTAAAAAAATCATAAAATATGGAACAACAATGCATAACCTATATCATAGCTTTAAAATGGGGTGAACAGTGGTTTTTGGGCCAGGGGCTGCATTAGGACTTGTGATGTGCTGAGGTCTACATTCCAAAATCAGTATGCCTATGTGAAGGAGTATGTTTGACTAGAGAGAAAAAAAGTGGAGTGTTAATATTGACAAAATAAATATAAAAAATCAATATTTTGTCTCAGTAGTCAGGCATAAGCCATCCAGGAAGCTCAGAAGAAAGACAACAAAGCTTCTGCAGATACTATCAACTTTTTTCCTAAAATGGAAAATGAATTGTTCAGAACTATCTGTGTATAAGTATGTGTTTTTTTAACAAAAACACAGCCCATTTTGTCTTTGAGAGGAACATTTGAAAAGGTAAAATAATGCATTTTTTAGAGAATGGTTTAATTCCCAAATACTTCCAAAGTATAAATTAACACGAAATCTAGAATTCTGTTCAATTTATTCAATTTATGGTTGCCCAGTTGCCACAGGTGTCACAAATTTTGAGTTCTTACCAATGCTTAGCCTTGAAATTTGGGTGACTCTGAATGTATATGGAATTTGGGTTAT